CGTCCCCGCGTGGGGCCGCGCTCGGCCCGGCCCGGCCCGGCTGGGTCGGACCCTCCCGCGGCCTCGGCCCCGCAGCTCACCAGGAGTAGGTCTGCTCCGCCATGGCTGCGGCTGGGCGGCCGGCGCTGGGCTCTGCGGGGCGGCCGGGCCCGAGCTCCTCCTCCGCCTCCTCCTTCGCCTCCTCCTCGCAGGCTCCGGGGCTCAGTGGCGGCCCCGCTGCGGCTCCCGGCCCAACATGGCGGCGGCTGTGAGGAGGGAGGGGAGCCGAGGGGGGGTCCCCGCGCGGGCGGGAAGGGCGATGGTGGCGGCGGGGCGGGCGGAGGCTCAGCAGCCGCGTCGCGGGGCTGCGCTAAGGCGCCGGCGGGGCCTCATGGCCGGCGGGGCGGCGGCGGCGGCGGCGACGGCGGCGCGGGGCGGGGCGGGGGCGGGAGGCGGCGGCACCGGGCGGCCGGGCCAGGCCGCGCCGCGTGCCCGCGCTCGCGCACGGCGGGGGCGGAGCCGCGCCGAGGGGCGGGGCCCGAGCGGCGCGCGGGGGTCACGTGCCCACAACACCTTCACGTGCCGCCGGCCGCGCGCAGGCGCTGTGGGGCGCGGGCAGGCGGCGTTCGGCGTTGGTTGTCGGGCCCGGCCGCGCCGCTGCGAGGGCTCAGCCCCGCGGGCGGGCGCGTTCGCCGTGCTCACCCCGCTGGAGTCGCGGCGCTCGGCGGTCCGTGCCCGGCGGCGAGCGGGACGGGAGAGAGAGGGGTGGACGGAGTTTCCTCCGCCAGAAAAGCAGCACGAGCTGCGGGTGGGTTTTGGGGCGGGGGGCTTCCAGCGAGGAGTCGCGGCTCCCCAGGTGAATGACGAGCCGAGCCGGCTTTCCCTTCCCGCCGGGAGCGGCGCAGCTCCCCCGGGCTGGGCGGGTACCGGCGGAGGGCGAGCGCGGCCGCCTCGGCTCGGTGCTGATGGCCCGACAGTGACCCCGGGGCTGCTCCCGCTGATTTCCCGCATCCCGCAGGAATCCGTGACTTCCCGGGAGTTTGCGCTGCCGCTGTGGCGCGGGGTTTTCCTCTGAACGATGGTTGGGTGGTAAATGCACCGTTCAGGTAAAATAATTCGTAACTGCGGTGTTAATTCATTAAAATCTATAGGTTCAAATCGTCAAAATGTTGGGCTTTTTAAGGAAAGAAGATAATATTCCAGATACTTTGACCAAATAAAGTCATGTGCTTCGTTTTATCGCCAGCCCAGTATTAAACCTGTGCGAGTCTTAGGCGGAGAAACTGCTGCGTTGATATTGGTCTTGTCTCCTCCCTGGTTTCTGCTGCCAAACCCTCTGCCCTTCATTACGTTTCTGCCAAGTGCAGAACTAGTGCTTTTTGCTCGGTTTGCTCACGTGAGTAATCCTTACCTCCGGGGAGTTCACTTGCAGCTATTTTGTGTAAGTGGGGCTTTGCAGAGCCTGGATCAATTGTTCCAGTCCAGCTGTGCATTCCCACTCATTGTCCCTTTCAGTGTGGGAGGAAGAACAGCCAGTTTGAACATACAGTTGGAGGTGACGTAACTGCATCAAATATAAATAGAAGAACAAATGCCTGGGGCTGGTAAAAATAGGTATTTGTTTTAAAAACAACTATGAAGAAATTCTATGCCTCAATAGAATTTTGTTAAAATCTTTAAAAAAAAATAGTGGGACATTGGGACATTCTCATTGTATCTACAGGGATGCCAGATGCCTCTGAAATTTGGAGCCCACTTTAGTTTGTTTCTGTTAGTGGATAGAATAAACTATTCTCATGCTGTCCATCTCATTTATTCTCTTAAATAGAAAAACCTTAGGCTGGTGTGCAGTCTTGACAGAGGATTAAAAGTAGGGAACGTCTCTGTTCATATTTGTTTTGTCCCCAGCTGCTGTGTAATCCTGGGCAGATCACTTCATCCCTGCTAGCTCAGCTTCTTTGTTAATACGGAGGAAACTGCAAAGTGTTGCAGCCACCTGAAGTTTTGGGGAGCTGCAGCAGGAAGATGCTGCATATGCAACACAGGTTTACTTGGTCTTGGTGGAGGGAATGCCTGGGATTCCTGTGCTCCACTTAAACAAGGCTTTTATTAAGAAGGTGCTGGACTCTGAGGGTTTCTTCCCCTGTATCATTATGCTTTCACAGCAAGTGATTTGGGTTGTGTCAGCATCCAAATTCTCTGTGATTTTCACAGCCCTTTGGCCTCGTGGACAGGAATGACCTTAGAGCTCCCGACATAATCAGCACTTTACCCACTTACTGACAGATGTTTGAGAATCGGATTTATCAGCCATGAGGTGGAAATGCTCCAAGTACCGTGCCTGGCTGGGTCATGGGATCCCTGCTGGGGTCAGTCCTGGCAGCTGGGTGTGCTGGAAGGATGAGAGGGTGAGGAATGATAAACTTTGCTCTCATCCAGTTCAGGCTGGACTACCTGGAAAAACTTCCTCCCCTGTTTGATCTCTGCCCTTGGCTTGTGCCCCGTGCACAGTCCCTGTGCCCATCAAGAGCTTTGGTGGCGATGAGAGAAGGGAGGAGTCACGCCCAGAACCAGAGCTGTGGGATCCACAGCCCAGTCTGTCAGTCTGGGGGAAACTCTGCTGTTCCCACATACACATATCCCCTGTCTACAAAAAAAAAAAATAAAAAAATCCCGGGCTCTGGGTGGGATTTGCACGATGGCTAGGTTCTCTGCTTTTGTTCTCTTCAGTACAGCAGAAAAGCCTGCAGAAATGCTTAGATAATGAACAAATAATTTGGAATCCTCACTCTACTGTGGTGCAAACCTGGGTGCCTGGAATGCCTGTTTGTGCTACCCTTTTTGTTGATTATAACAGAGTAAATGTAAGAAAAAAAAAGAACATCTCCTTTAAAATCAACGCAGGGAAAGATAAATCAGGACTTCAGCCTTGTCTTGATACTAAAGAGCCTCTCCTAATTTTTTTTTTTTGCTGAGAATAATGATGTAAAACTGATATTGGTATCTATGAAACAATATCTCTGCTTTGTGTTCATATTGAAATAGCTTCTAGTTTCTCAGTCTTGCAAATTTTCCAGCACATTAATTTGGCACAAATGATTTATAGCTGATGAGCAATTAAAGTATAATTTCTTTCCAGCATCTCAGGCTTTGTGACTAGACTATTAAATGATTTTGCAAGCTTGCTGTATCATTACAGGATAGCAGTGGGATGATTTCACAGGAGAAATTTATTCCTCCTTGCAGACCCAGCATCTGCTCTCACTGCAAACTGGAGCACTGCTTGCATTCCTCAGACAATTTTCTCAGCATATCTTTTGTACAGTCTTTCTTTGGACCTACATGAGAGCTTTAGTCTGAATTTCAGTGACAGTTTACTGTGACATTACAAAGTCCTCCCAAAATACCTGTTCTGCCTGGAACCTTTGATGTAGACTGATGCTTTACTTAGACCTGTCAATGTATTTCAGAACTAGCAGCAAACAAAACCATTTTAAAAATTATTTTTGTATTTGGAAGGGCAGCTCCCAGAGGCAAGTGTAGTAGAGAAAAATCAGATGAAAGTACTGGCTACAAAGAGTCCTCACCTCCAAGTTGTTTAAATGTCAGCAGATGACATTTAGCTAACCATGTCTTGATTCTGCTGTAATGGAGGTGGAAAGAACCAGAGGAGATTCATGTAGACAGTTCACCCTTCAGGGAAGGACATGACAGGTATAGTTGTCAACCCTGCTTTGTTTAGGAAGGAACAAATAGCATGGAAATGAGCAGAAAAGGAAGGAAAAAACCCAAAACCCAGAGATCCACTTCTGACTGTACAGCTGGGAGCTACACGAGGCTATTTGCTTGTAAGATCCTTGTGGGATTCCCCTTTATAAACCTAATTAAAACGTGCACTGACCATGTGTGACACGATTCTCTTCACTACCACCTAGTGGGAAACTCCTTCATAACCCAACTCCAGAGCTGCTCCTGATCTCCACCCTCACCCTCAGTCTGATGGTAGAAACAGGGAAGAAAATGAGAGCTGACTGGGAAGGAGGACACAGTCCTGTTTCCACATAGAGGTAGAGGAACGTGTAGAGAAAGTTTGTAATTTAAACCCATTTGCCCCATGGATTGCCCACATCACAACTCCAAGTTCTGTATCCAGCCCAGCCCACTGATGAAAAAACCCAGCTTCTTTCTTGGTAAAATCACAGTTTTCAATTATAATCTCATATTTACACCAAAGATTATTACATTAGAAGCTAAATGGGTATATATTGGAAGCATTAAAACCATATATTCAAGCAAGTTCTTCCCCACTGAGATACTCAGGGTTTGCACAAATAGCTGAAATCCAACTCCATTAAAACAACGTACAAATGACAATTATCTCAGATTTTTCACACTCCTGTTTGCCTTTTGGGACTAAGCTCCCAATACACAAATAATAATCAGTTTTGGTACTCATGGAACTTCCCCCCCCAATAATAGAAATAAGGGTGAACATTATCATAATAGCTCTCACATTTCAAGGAGGGGATTATGTTAATGTCATTCAGGCCAGTAAAGCATTTATCAGTCACAGCAGGAAGAACAGTAAAATGGTAAAGAATTACTAAAAGAATAATTTCTCCGTGTTTCATTTGCCAGTGGCAATTTTACCACCCTATTCAGGGAACTATATGGGCTCCCTCTAGTAGCACTTTCATTGTAAATATATTTAGGCTTTATTTCCTTCTCTGTATGCTCTCCTTGAAGCCATGTTACACTGGCTTTGTACCAGCAAATTACTGTATTTTTCATCAAGTACACTTCGTAATAGATATAATTCAGTAAATTAAAACATCAAAGGTAAAATAGATGTTGATACAGGAGTGAGGATTTGGGAGTCTATTCTGCCTTCCATGAGGTTCACAGGGCTCTGCTGTCCCTTACTGTGGGTTTGCCCCACTGCAATAAGCAGAATATAGACTAGTAAAGGTAAAATAAGAATAATGTTCCTATTGTGTACCCATTCACACTTTCATGCAATGTTTTCAGTGTTAAGTAATTCACTCACTTTATTAGATACAGGGGAGAAGAGATTACTGTGGAACAGTTAATACAAAACCAAATACCACAAACATGAAAAAAACAAGCAAGTATCTCCTGGTATCTTCAAACTTTATGTTTCTCCCATTACAATGACCAAGATCATATTAATCAGAATGACTTGAGAATCAAGTCATGGCCTGGGAAATAGTTACAATTAAGAAAATCAACATATAGTAAGCACTGGTAATAGATAAAAATTAGTATAGGAAACCCAAGTCCCCTTATTTCAAATATTCATCCTCAAGGCACAATCCCTGGGGGACAGTTAAGCTAAATGAGAACATTGTCTGATTATGGCACTCTGCAACTGAGCTCTTCCTCCAATAGAACTACAATCTAGCTTCCACCCTTGACCTCTGCTATTCTCTCATCACTTCACAACTGCACTTGTAATAACCTGAGAAATATGATATTGCAATCCTTAGTGCCAGGCTGTAAAATAGGGATGCTGGCTAATTCACAACAGGAATCCCTTTCAGTCTGACCACTAGCTATTTTAAACATTTAAGAAACACTGAAAAGCTCACTGGTTCTCCTGCACTGAGGAATCTGAAATACTCCATGGGGCTGAGCCATTCACTGGCACAACCTGGCAGTTTCCAATGAATGGAAAGACAAAAGCCGATAAGTTTATTTATTTATTTTTTTCTAATTGCCCAGGTTCCTATAGTTTAAAATGGACAGTTCTAATAGACCAAAGGAAAAAGCCCTTCAGGATAAAGTGATAGAGAATATTTACCTTCTCCTCAGTATTTGAAATGTTTCCTTGTTCAGCTAAGCGTTCTCCATGTGGCATCTAGTTGTAGCAATCAGGGAGGTCCTACCATACAAACAGATGTGCATTTCTGGTTTTATAGACTTCAAAGTTCACTGGTTTCAAAAAAAGCTTCTGCAGCTGAAGGTCTTCAAGGCAAGCAGAAGCAGCAGCAGCAGGACTTCTGGGTGCACAAGGAACCCTTGAAACCACATAATACAGACACAATTCGTTGCTATGCTTTTTTCTCTTTACAGCTTCCATTGACAAATATTGCTGTTCTTTGTTTAAACTCAATGATTTGTGTCCCCATTACCCCTCAAACATTTAACAGGTTTTTTATACCAACAGAATATGGACAATCTTTTTAACAAGAACAGTGGTAATATTTTCCATCTTGGTTTATGTAAAAGAGATGACCATGCCAAAGAGAGGCAGAAATAAATAACACAGCATGACAACATCTCCTCTGTCACATATTGCAAGAGCTCCACAATCTGTTGGGTCTGTTTGCAAAATCCTTGAATTTTAAGGACATATCATGCAGAAAGTGTATGTCATGGTTGGATACAATTGAATTTCAATTGAAAATTACTGTTACCAGCCAGTAACGTTGTAATTTCTACCTGAGAGGCGGGGATAAAGGAAAACTGTAATTAATAACAAATAAAATGCATGGAAATTGTATCAACATACTGACAGTACAATGCCAAAAAATGTTCACCACTCCTGTGACGGGTGCAAAACCAGCACAACTCTTTATTAAGAGTATGACCCCAAAAAAAATCTTTAGAAGCTGAAGTTGTCTTTTTACATTCATGTTCACATGAAAATTTCTTGCAATAAATGTTTTTACATGGGCTCGGAATTCTTACTCCTTTTTAGCCACACAAAGTCGTCCGTAGCCATTAAATCTTTGCTAACGCCCTGCAGGGAGGGGACGTGGTGCTCTGGGTGCAGATCTGAAATAAAAGGCAAGAGTTAACGGAGTCCCGCCCGGTGCCTGCAGGGAGGAGGGTCCCTCTGCAGGAAATCTGTCCTGCAGCTGCTGACTCAGGAGCTGGGAGAGCTTGGCCAGTGGTGCCCACGAGGGAAAATAGGGGCCAAGGTCCTCTGCAGCATTGTCCTGGGACACTGCCCAGCCTGGGGACAGCCCTACCAGGCTCCCTTTAGCTCATGTTTGATGGGAGTGTAGAGACACAGGCAGCTGCCCCGGCAACAACAGCTTTACATCCTCCAAGGAATCACTCATGCATCGTGTCCACATGTGCACATCAAGTTACTCCCTAATTTAGCCACTTAAAGTAGATAGATTCATTCATATAATTTCAGACCAGAAAAGACAATCTAGTCATAAAGATTCCTGGAGAAGTGTATTGAGCAATTCCAGCCAAGCCAGGGATCGTGTTTTAGGAAATCACCCAACAGGTGGGAGCAGAACCTCAGAGCAGGGCTGGTATCAAGAAGGGATTGGAGTCAGATGATAAAGGGGAACCACAAGTTTTCCCAGAGCACTCATCAGAAGCAGTAGGGCATGATAAAAGTTGGTGATAGAGCAGGGACTTTGAGTGTGACTCAGCATATCCTTTACCAAATACATGAATCACAAACTCAGAGAGGCAAGCCCTGCAATCCCCCAAATTATTAACACTGCTCCTGCTCATAGTTGAGCAATAAGTATAGCAAGGTAAAATGGAAGTACTACTAGTATTTGCACATCAAGGTACCCAGCAAGCCAAAGCCAGAATTGAAAAAGTCACTTAAGTCTTGATGCTCTGCCACAGAAATCAGCTGGAGCTTCAGAACACCCTGCGAGGCTTGGGAATGTTCACATGAAGCCAAGGATCGCCTCCCCTCTGCTGGGAGTTGCACAAAGGCCGGTGCAGCTGCCAGTGTGGCTTGCTCTCAGCCCAAAGCCTTTGGCAGGATCTGACACTGGCTGCACTTCAGCACTGCCCGAGCTCTGAGCAGGTTCTGCGATATTCCAATGGCAGCACCTTGTCCTGAACCACGGGCAACCGAGCACAGCTCTTCCTTTTGGGTGCTCCACCTCCTTCCTTCTCCAAAACTAATGAGGCCAGAAGTAAGCCATGCTTCTCCATCCCCATCTGCCTAGTTTTCTTTCCATACTCACTTTTCCACGCTGCAGATTTTTTATCCCTTCATTTTCTTCTCCTTCTCTCTCCTGCTTCCCTCCCTTTCCCCCTCCCCCTGCTTTCTCTCCCTCTGCACTTTGTGAACTGCTGCGGCAGTGCTGAAGTCCAAAGTTCAGTAACTTGCTAAAGCACACAGATAAATATGAACCTTGGAGAATTTACATTTGCTCCAATGTAAACAGATAGCCAAGGGTCCCTTTATCAGCACTGGCTCAGGACAGTCGTGGGGGGTCTGAAGTGGCTCAATTTTGTATTTTGTTTTTTTTGGGGGGGTGTAAAGGCGGGAGGCTGCGCTGTGCCCACTCTCCTGACAGTCGGGCGTGTTACCTCAGGACCATGGTGTAGGGAAGCTGGAAGCAGGATAACCCGAAATTCAAACCCAAGAGACACCAGGCTGAAGACCATGGTCTCGAAGCTGACTCATCTCCAAGTGGAGCTGCTGGAAGCGCTGCTGGAGTCGGGGCTGACCAAGGAGACCTTGATCAAGGCACTGAGCGAAGCAGAACCCTACGGGCTGCAGAGCGAAAGTCAGCGCGCGATCAATGCCCTCCAGAGTGAGAAAGGGGAGCCCTGTCCCGACATCCCCAACCTCCCCAACGGAATGGGGGAGTCCAGGGTATCGGAAGATGAAACCTCAGATGACGGAGAGGAATTTACCCCTCCAATAATGAAGGAGCTGGAAAACTTGAGCCCAGAGGAGGCTGCTCACCAGAAGGCTGTGGTGGAAAGACTATTACAGTAAGGACAGATTTACTGCTCCTCTTTGCTGCTTTCTTGCACTCTAACTCTCTTTCCCTTTCCCCTTCTCCTCAGTGTCCCTAGTATTCACAATTGATCTAGCTGCACAGGGACAATCTTCATCCATGCCAGGACTAGCAGCCCCCAAACACCCCCAAATGCTTTATAAATGCTCAGATTTTCCTTTTATCTCGCTTAAAATATATGAAGGAAGCTATGGAGCCTGATTACATATTGACATGCTTATAGCATCAAGGCTTCAGAATAGTCCAAGGCCTGTCTAACTTTCATCTCTTTGACTGAATGTTAGGGTTTAGGACATAAATTTTTAATACAATTCACAATTTCAGTCATCAGGAAAAAAAACCCAAAGCAACAAATAACTGGTCGCCCTGAGCTGGTGCTATATTTGTATGAATGACAGGGTGAAGTTGTAACATTTCCCTGCGGTATTGAAGGAGAATGATATTGTTAATTTCACTGGGGTTTGCTTTAGAAAAAGCACACACCAAATACATGCAGAGGTTAAAACCTGGACAGGCACACTGCTTCTACCAGCCACAGTTACAAAGTACATATGCAGCAACAGTTACAGGGTTTGTTGCCACACAAATGTGCCTTTGCACACAAGCATTTCTGAGATCAAAAAACAGGGAAAGCTCCCTGAACTAATAAGCCTCACAATAGACTCAGAGAAACTTTCACTCAGTTTCCCATTTGGGATTCTTACTGGGATACAATCCCCATGGGAGACCCAAGAGGTTTGTCAAAGCAAGGATCAGGCTCATCCTACCATCTATCACAACAGATTCTTGCCTGGTTTTGAGCTAATTTGAAATGACAAGCTGATAGAAGACAGATGTGCAGTAACATCTTGCACCTAAAATCTTCACTATAAATCCACTAGGGAATTTCTCAGGCATTCTGATCACTCTCTTTCACATGCAAAGGAAATCAACAGAAAATGTAACACCAGAAGCAAACATCAAATCCCACCACAAAGGCCAGAGCTAAGAAAAGAGCATGACAAGAATTAGCATTCACTGTAAATACTTAAAAGAAAGCTGCCTGACAGATTGGGAGTTGATGATTCTGCAGAACCCTAGAGAGGAAAATTCACTGGATCAGCTCTTACCTGGGTGGGGAAACGTGCCCAGTAATTAATTCCTCTTCCTGGCCCACTATGTCTCATTTCTTCTGCACTTCCAGCTCTGTCTCATCTTTAAGTTTTCTCTGCTTCCTTTACATCTTTCAGATTCTTTGTACCTAGCTCCCTTCTCTCTTCACTATTGTTTCTGCTGCTATTCCTTCCATTTTGTTGTCTCCTTGGCTGATTCTCTCCCTGCCTCCCACTCTATTTCTTCTCCTCATCCTTGTCTCCTTCTCATCCTCCTGAGTCTGCGTGCAGGTCTTGGGGCAGTTTGAGCCCAGTGGCACCGGGCGGGCCCTGGCTAGTTACTAATTATCCAATGGCTTTATTATTTCTCTTTTGTCTTATAAATTTATAGATGAAAAGACCCTGATAAGCTTTTTGATCATTAACTTTTGATGGTTTATCAAGAATCTCTCCAGAAAGGAAACCATGGAAGTTGAGGAAGACCTCCGTGGTTTTGTCCCTTTTTCTCTAATGAGTGGGTGAAGCAGGACTGAAGTGACATCTGCTGTGATCTAAGAACAGACACAGGGATGGAGGGAATTCCTTCCTGTCACCCTCACTTCAGCACCATTTCTGCTTTCTGATCCTTCCTGCCTTTCTAGGATCTTGCTGCCAGTCTTCCCTGTGCTTACCAGCCTCACCACAAGTCTTACCTCTCTTCCAAACCTGGGACATTAACACTTTCTGATGAACAGTCAGACAGTCTGCTGAGCAGCATTTCCCTTCCACAAACGGAAACTGAGGTACAGACAAATTCTAGGACGTACCTAAACCCCTGAGGCAGCACAGAGGAGACTGGGCAAGGACAGGGATCTCCTAAACCTCATACTTGCTCTTAATGACAAAGGCTTTACTCTGAAACATTAGAGATCTGTCACCAGTCTCCCCCACCACAGGACAGAACAATTCACTTCTGCTGTTGAGGACAGTATGAAGACACTAGAAGCCTCAGTTTCAGAAAAAAATTACAAGTACACCTATGGAGGTCTATAATAGATAGAAATTAAGCAAGTTAAAATGAAAACAGTAGAAAGCCTGCAATGCCATGTTTCAAATTTCTAATCAAATCAAGAGTGTCTAAAATTCTATTCAAAGCATCTGAACCAGTATCAGGGGTTGATAATACCCTAAGAAGTTGTTATCTACTAATAAACTTTTTTTGGTTTTAAGATCAAACCTTTCCATTAATAGATACCTAAAAGTAATGTCGTTAAAATAGTATTATAAGTATTGTAAAGCAGGGCAGAATAGTCTATGGCAGAAATTATTTCCAGCAATAGATAAAAGAAAGGCAGGCAAGAATCTCCATACCCAGAGATTCCCAGCAAAAGGTCGATACAAAACTATTTCAGCATCTACACAAGGGTTTCAAATGCAGAAAACAGATGGAGGCAATTCTCCCTTTAGACAGAAGCCTCTGGGCATTATTAACAATTTTAATAATTCCTGGTCTGCAGACCAAATTTTAACAGAGAGATTGACTTGTGGGCAGCTGATACAGGAAAGTCTTTGTGGTAACTGTAGCCATTGCTTATAAAGTCATTGCTTTATAAAGTAGGACCACATAAAGTGTCCATTATTAGGCTTTCCAGGAGCTGGAAAGACAAAAAATTGACAGCACCAAGAGACCAACTATGTCTTCACAGGACCACTAAAGCTGAAACTAGTTTGAAAAACTCTGGTCAAAGCTGAGTAGAACAGAGAAGATACACCCACAGGACTGGGTGCACCCATGGGTGTTGATTAGATTGCTTCCCTACAGAGAAAACATGCTAAAAGCAGTTCAGATAAAGGTTTCTCTAGTGGGGAATTAACATAATTTCTCTTTGTCCTTTCATATGTCTCGTTGATCTCCCATTGATTTACAGTTTGAATAAAAACATTCTTTCCATATCAATCCATACAGAGAACAAATTGCATCTATGATAAGAAATAAATTACTCAGTAGGGTGATAGAGCTGTGTGGAGAAACTCCCAGATATTCCCAGAATATAAAGCAAGAAGGAGGCTACCTTGGGGGAAGGGATCATAGTACTGCAGGTAAAGCAAATGGAGAGAGGAATCAATCCAATGGAGAGAGGCACAGCAATCCACCTGTAGGGCAAGGGGTGAAATTCCATTAGGAAAGAGAGAAATTGAGATAAGCAACAGATTTCCCCTGGAGGCAGGGATAAAAGCATGTTTTCCAGGAGGAAAAAAGAGAACAAAGATACATAATGACAAAGGTCCAGTCTTTCCCCCTTAGAACAGCACTAGTTGGGGATCTGGAGATGAAGCTGCCACACCCCTTTCATTTCCACATATAAACCAAGATGAGGCAAACCAGGCCAAGCTCAACAGAAAGGAGCACGGCCAGGATGGATGGTCTTACCTTCCCTGAGCCCAGCCCGGCTCCAGGCTGTGCTCTGGGCTGTGGAGCAGCTCCAGAAGAAAGGGCTGGAGGATCCTGAGCACTTCACTCTGAACCTCTGCCTGAGCAGGGTCTGGTCCAAAGCAGCGATTCAGAACCCACCTCAGGGAAATGAAGGCTTCTCCCACCTGACAATCAGAACAGGAAAGAAGGAGAGAGAGAGAGAGAATGAGGAAGAGCAGAAGAAAGAAAAGAACAAAGGAAAAATAAAAAGTCAGGAAGAGTGAAGGAGGGAGAAGGTCCCTTGAATGTTACATCTCCAGCTCTCTGGAATGGGTTTTCTTTAATGCTAACAACTTGATATTTACTTTCCATTTAAATTTGAGATGTTGCTATAAATTATCAACCAGCCTCTTGTTCCCTTTGAGTTTATAACTAACTACCTGGGTTACTTATTGTTCAGGTAACAAAAGGGAGGTGAAAACGCCCTTAAAAACCGACCTCAGAACTAAGGAAATGGGAAGCTGACATGGAGAAAGAACCCTGGCCCCTGTGGTGGGGATGAGCCATGGAGAAGGGCTATGACCACACAGCAATAAGCAACTGAGAGCAGGAGAATAAGACTTCAGAAGAGGGAAGTAAAAGCCACCTGTGTGACACCAACTAGGAGACAGATTAGATCCTGGAGAACAAGACCTTGGGGAGACAGTTTGCATCTGAGGAGAAAGGGAAACTAAAAGGCAGAAAACAATATTGGAGATAGGGAAGGAGAGCATTTGTGCAGTTCTGACTCACTGAAACAAGTGAGATTTGACTGTAACAACAAGCAGATGTCAGTTTAGAGTGAAATCCTCCCCTCTGACAGTCAATGATAGTCTTATAGCCAGTAAAAGAGAAAAGGTTTCAACTTTTGATGTCTGTGATGGAGGCTGTGCAGTTGGAACTGTGCCTTTGAGCAAGGGGTCATCTGGCCAGGCTGTCACCACTGGGACTGTGGTGTGGCCTTGGGCCTAAAGGACTTGCTGCACTGGTTTTGGAGAACTGCCCTTTGACAATGTACAGAGTAGCCAGGATTTAATACAGCTGTCCTAGGAAATCACACTGTACTAAGATTCCCTGCACTATTTTGCATCACAAAGCTCGTACTGTATCAAAAGAAGACAAAAACCACTGTGAGAAGAGACTCACAGAACTTAGTGGTTTATTCCTGCCACAAAGTGAGGATCTCAACAGGGGAGACAAAACTGACTCGACTGGGGTGCAGAAAGGAACTAATAGAGACTTCCAGAGTCTTTCCTCTTCCCATCTGAGGCAGAATTCCAACTGAAGAGGCCAGCTTCCCAGTCAGTCTCTTCTCCTCTATACAGAGACTTGGACAATGAACACAGGGTGCAGGTGCTGGCCAGACTATCACAAGTACAAAGGCAGGAGACTGGTTTAGGCAGCAGGAGAAAACAAAACCAAAAACAACGACAAAACCATGAGGAAAGAAAAGCTTTCTTAAATTCAGCTCAATTTGAGGCTTTTGAAAGACAAAGATAGTTAAGGGAGGATGCTCAAAATCAGAAGCCTCTCTGGCAAGTGCTCCCATGTAAAAAAGACACAAATGTTCTCTATTCTATGTTCTATTTTAAGCAGGTTCTTCAAAAAGCTGTAACTGACACCGTTTGTGTCACACTTTAACTGCTGTGCAGCTTGCTCCTTGGACTACTCAGCCCCTGGGAGAGGGGCTGCAGGGGAACAGAGATAAGGGTGTTTGTACTGAGAGAACAGGTGTGGACTTTGTCCTCCTTATCACTGTGCAGCCTCCAGCAACCTCCTGAGTCAACAAAGCCATGAACAGCACAGTTGGTGCCTGTTGCTCAGACATGTGTGCTCTTGTGACAATTTCTGCACCTTCCCAGGTACCTTTTTTCTCCCCACTGCTCCTTTGATGTTGGTGTTGCATATGACACCAGTGTCTTCCTACAGCACAGCAAACCACTTCCTCCAGACATTTCACACAGAAGGCACAGAAGGATGCTCTTGTTCAAAGTGAGCCAGGAGCTATTCTGTAAAGGTGCTCTGGCACTGTTTGGATTTAGACTGATGGGTTTCACATCTTTATTTCTACTGTGACTTTCAGCTGTGATGAAATCAATGCACATAAAGACACAGTCATGTTTTCTCTATTTTCCTTAGGAACCTTAATAGCTATTCTAACTGAAGATCATATAACCCAAAGGATCACATAAATTGTAAAATCCCAAACTGTTCATCAAATTTTGTGAGCAGGTCTTAAATAGTTCTATTCCCTCAGCTGTTACCCAAAGGAGAAGAGCAATAAGAGGGATTAGTGGTTTGCCAGTAGTTTTATATTGAATTTAGAAGTTCTGAGTAGTTCTAGGTGTGAACCAATGTGTTTGAGTAACACGTAGCAGATGTGTAAGAACATAATTCTGGATGATTTGTCATATACACATACATACATACAGAGTTGTCATGCCACAGTATAATGACAGCTTGTTTCCATTTGCTGGATCATTGCAAGACAACCCAGCCTGGACCAGAATCAGGGCACGAGTCAAGTTCAGTCCAGTATCACAATCAATCTGTCTTGGAAAACTCAGTACATCTGCCCCATCTGCTTTAATGAGAGGGGGATAGAGAAGAAAAGTTATGTAGGGGAAAAAAAAGAGAGAGGTTGCCTCTGTGTATTGGGAAATTCCCCTGGTAAGCAAAGTCTCTTCCTAAAGGCAGACCTAAGTGTGTACAGACAGCAGTTCAAAGGAAGCCAGTGCTACATCTTTTGCACTTTATTTCCAATGTCATGCAGTTTTACCCTGCACACAGAGTCAAAACTGAGCAAGGCAGCACACAGAGGAACAGCTTTTTCCCCTGCAGCCAATGAGCACTCTGGCCTCACCAAACATGATGGTGATGACTGACAAGTGCCCCTCAGGAGCTATTAATGCACTTCCTTGAAATCCAGGTCTGCTGAGAGCAGGTGTTTGATCTCTCTCCCCTGAGAAATATTTTCTGTTCCTTCCAGAGAGGATCCCTGGCGAGTAGCAAAGATGGTAAAATCTTACCTCCAGCAGCACAACATCCCTCAGCGTGAGGTGGTGGACACCACAGGTCTGAACCAATCCCACCTCTCCCAACACCTCAACAAGGGCACTCCCATGAAGACCCAAAAACGAGCAGCCCTGTACACGTGGTATGTCCGGAAGCAGCGAGAGGTGGCCCAGCGTAAGTATGGCAACCACTGCTCTCCTGTCTCAGTTTCATAAAGGCTTCTGCTCTCCCTTGCTTGTCCTTACTCCCTATTGTTTTCAAGGAAAAAACTTCCCTTTCCCCTTTGTGCCTGCAGAATTCACCCACGCTGGCCAGGGTATACTGACAGACGAGCCCATGGGAGATGATCTGCCCACCAAGAAGGGAAGAAGAAACCGCTTTAAGTGGGGTCCTGCCTCACAACAGATCCTGTTCCAAGCCTACGAGAGGCAGAAAAACCCCAGCAAAGAAGAGAGGGAGGCACTGGTGGAAGAGTGCAACAGGTAAGGGTGGGTGTATGTCTTTGAGGAAGAGGGGCACAGCAGGGTCCCTCTGCATTCTTGGTGTTTGCTGGAAGGCAGGCCAAAGGTACAGCACTGAGTGGCACCACTGACACCAGCCACGCTGGAATTAAATGTCACAACTGACCATTCCTTGTCCACAGAGCATAAGAAATGCCTCAGGTCTTGCAGGACCCTTCCACACAGTGTGCCAGACCACAGCCACTTTGGGGCTGTGCACTAAATTTGTGTCTCTAAGCCCTGCTCAGCAAAGCTCTTCTTGTGTTTTTCCCAACAGGGCAGAGTGTATTCAGAGAGGTGTTTCCCCATCTCAGGCCCAGGGACTGGGCTCAAACCTGGTGACAGAGGTCAGAGTTTACAACTGGTTTGCCAATCGCAGGAAGGAGGAGGCTTTTCGGCACAAGCTGGCCATGGACACCTTCAGTGGACCCCAGCCCAGCTCTGCCCCTCCCCTAACCCCCCACAGCTCCTCCTCCCTCCAGCCACCACCTGCTCTCTCACCCAGCAAAGTTCACGGTAAGAAACAACCAGAGGGAGATCTGAAAGAAGGGTGAACCTCCCCAAACTCAGTCACCCAAACTGTCTCCCAAGTTCAGCCCTTTAGGAAATTAATATACATATAGAAAAAGCAGATTTGTTACAAGGGAAGAACAAAGGTGACAAAGAGACCATGTTTCTGGTTGAGGAGAGTGGCTAGAATGTCAAAGGAGATAAAATTCAGTAACAAAACCCACAGCCAAAGCTTCTCACTTACTGTGAGGAGTACTACACCTACTGAGCTGACAGGCATCAACCCCAAACTTTCTGTTCCAGGAGTCATCACTGCCTGCCAGAAGTCAGTTCCATGCCCTTTCAGTCATGTGTCCCCCTTACTCCCTTCAATGCCAGCCCCATCAGACTCTGTGACAGAGTTTTCAGGCGTGAGGAAAAGTCATTCTCCATCCAAAAAGAGCACAGCTTTTTCAGCTTCACAGGCCAGAGCTGGGGGTTGCTCTTACTCTGGGAAGAGATGATCTCACTGAGACTCCTCTCTACAGCCACATCCAGAGGGGTGGTTTCCTGCTCCCTGCAGCACTCACAGCCAGTCAGTGTTTGAGGAAGCAGTTACACCAAATTACAGGGGAAAGTCAGGGCAGGGTGTGAGGGAGTGCCTGTTCTTCTGGCTCCCCTACCGACCATTAAGTATCTGCCCAAAAATCTGGTGGCAAGTGCCTGCAAAGGAAACTGAACTTAGTGCCTGCCTAAGTTTCTCAGTTTCTCACTTGTGACAAGCAGTTTCCCTCCTGTTGTGATTCAGGAGTGAGGTACAACCAGCAGCCAGCCAGCGAGGCAGAGTCCTCCAGCAGCAACCACCACGGGAACAGCTCCATGGTGACCACACAAACCATCCTGCATCAGGTTTCTCCCCCTGGACTGGAGCCCAGCCAGAACCTGCTAAGCACAGACACTAAGCTGGTAAGTGATGGATACTCTGGTTCTGCTGACTAGAAAGTGTCAGGCCATTTGCCTGTGGTCATAATATGAACTATTAATGGGTATTTTTTCTAGAACGTAGTTAAATCCACCTTCTTATGTTACATAGTCATATGTAACATACTGTTACATAACACATTATGTAACAATATATTAGTCACTGCACTGACCATGTAAGATCAATAATCCAGAGACAGACTGTGGTGGGGACAGGTATTAGAGCA